CAAAGATCAACTACAATGGATAACTACGACGAAAGCTTCATCGCTCTTTTAACCAACCCCATTAACAGAACCTGTTCCTCTTAGATGTCTAGTAACTCTAGATTCATCTCCGTGACCGTGATCTCTTGGAGATGCGCCATTTTTGTTTTGGAAGATAAACACTCCCGCCGGCGCCGCCTAAGTTCTCGAATAGGCTCCCCCTTGCGCTTTGGCGGGAAACTGCAGTGCGTCTCTAGAAATTCCAGACCGACGATGCAGAAGCAAACCAGCGAAACCGGTTCACGACCAGAACCGAGCGACATTTGATGGGCAGAAGTATAATCTGCCCTTAGGTCACCAACTTAGTGCCACTTGGTCCCAATGGAATTTCCCATTGGGAACCTGCTAGCACTAAGATGCTAACTGGTTAGCAACTTAGTGCTACTTGGTCCCAATGGAATTTCCCATTGGGAACCTGCTAGCACTAAGATGCTAACTGGTTAGCAAGATGCTTCCGACAAACCGGCCACAACCAAACTTTCTTGCGAACCTTCCGCCACAACAATCCCGCCCCCTTGATAATCGACCAATCACATTCACTTTATTCACTAGTGTAAAGTCGTTTCTTCAGTCCTACACCTCAAAATCCATCATCAGCTAAAAAATATGTATTTAAAGAACATAAGTAAGAATTTATTAGAGCAAAAATGTACATTTAAATAATTATTAATTAGTTTTCAGATATAAGTCAACTTCATTTTAGCTTTTAAATAAAAAAAAAATCTTCCAACAGAATAAAAAGAGATGCTATTAGCGCCCAGTTTCCAGACGATAGTTATGTTTTATAGAAAGGCTGTGAGCTTCCTGTAGATATTCAAATAAAAGAATAAACTTGTTTATTTTGACATGTTGTTTGCTGCTGGTCCGTCTGCCTTTAAGATAACAACCCCCCTCCTAACGTCTGGGCTTGTTCCTGTTCTTTCCGTTTAATTAAGCGGACCTTTGTGGATGGTGAAACTCCCCACTAGAGATGCCCGCTCTCAGCACGGCTAAACATCAATTACGTTTTAATTAAGTCTAATTAAGTTTTTATCACTTTAATGTTCCAGACAAACAATCAACAATCAGCCGCCGTATCGGCCTTCTGTCAGAGCCTGTGTGTGTGAAGCAAAGCCGTCCGCTGTGTGCTGCAGCAGCTTAATTGGAACATGAAGTTAACCAGGATTTATCAATGGAATTACAATCACTGTAATTAAAGGCTTTTTATTGGCGTAATGAAGCCAGTTGTGTGAAATTGTACGCGATGCTTCAGGTTCTGGGGTACCTGGTTTCATTTCTGCAGAAAACTCAGTGTGTCCAGCTGAGCCTCGGCGCACAGGAACCAGACCCCGTGTTTCTAATTCATTAGTCAGGCTGTTTTCCAACAGATTAGACCAGCGTGGACTCTGGTTACCTTTAGCCTCTGCGTTCATTAGAGCGTTATCATTCATTAGTCCCAGCTGCTAATTAAAATCCGCTCTTAATTGGCAATACGAAGATAATTCTGCCATTCGTTTTCTGGATAACGAGGAGGCCTTTATTAGCTGCGTTAGCCTCTTAATGAGGCCCAACCCTGAAAGAGGTTTTCCTCACGAGCACGAGCAGCAATACCTCCTGATTTTCTGTTTTCACTTCATCTCCACAGCTGGAGCAGCCACCGAGGCCGCCCCTCAGGCCCCGCCCCCTCCAGAGGCTCAGCCCGTGGAAACCAAGGCTACCGAGGAGGAGATGGACGTCACTGATGACGACATCACCGCAGGTAGGTTAAGCTCAGCTTTAGTTCATCTGGATGACTTGAATTCTTAGACTTTTATTTCTGTTTGTTTGTTTGTGTTTTCATCACATTCATGAAGCAAGCAGAGGTGTCACAAGTTTTAATGTTTATTACTCCTGTAGAACTATAAATCCTACTTTTACAGGATCAACTTCAGCTTTTTACTCCAGTAAAAGTATAAAAGCACCATTTTTAAAACGACTCAAAGTATAAAAGTAAAAGTAATGCAGGAAAACTGTTAATGCCAGAAGTTTTACTGCTCTACCCTAATAAAGGAACATTTTTCTACAATTCTGGATGAAAACTTCCTTAGACTTATTTTCTTAGTTTTATAACTAATGGTAACAGCGTCACATTAAACTTTGCATCATCTGGAAAAACGATTTATTTTGGTATGTGGTGAGCAACTAGTTGGGGCAGCACCGAGTCCAACCACAGAGAAATTAATTGTCTGGATGAAACTAGTTATTATTTTTTTTAAACCAACAGGCCAGAATGAAAATGAGCTACGGTACATGATTAAACATTAACGGGAGCAGACGGGAGCGGGAGCAAACCAATAGTAACTAAAAAAAAAACTAGGATCGATGCCAAAAAATATAATAAAATAGAAAAAAAAATCCAGTACTGGCGCCGCCATTTTGTAGTTTTTTTCCTTGAAGCCTACACTATAATGCGAGTCAAAAAAACGACAC